GTATGGTGGGACCCCATCCCTGGCTTCAGGCTCTGGCATTGACCTGGTTTAGACAGCCTTTGGATCTGGCTGGAGCTCCTATCACTGAGCAGGAGAAGTGACCTGCTCTCTTAAAATCTCATTATAGTAAATGCTGAGTTGAGAAATCATGTCACAGCTTTTCTCACGTCTAATGTCATCAGTGGAAGAAATTTACCTCCTTAATGCCTCAGCTTTGCTTTCTATTAATGCTGCTACAGGGCGTAGTGGAATATATCGCCAGTTAAAATGGGTGAGGAGTTAAAAAACATATTTGGCAGTGCACAGACATGTTTTGTAAAATGTGCTGGATTTTCTGGAAGCTGCTTTCTGTCTGTAAATTGGATGTATGACCCTTGCAAAGAGGGGGACCTCCATTACTTTTACAACTCTTGTTTGACAGACAAATCTTGGTTGCTTTCTGCAGGAGTGAGGGGAGATGGTCCGTGGATGTTTCTGGAGTTTCTACATCTGTTTGCGTACTTGTGTGTGCTGACTTGTTCATACAGATTTCTTTCAAAGTTGTGTTGTATAAACAATGTAATGCTATTCTGTAAGGCGAGTCTTTCATTATGTTACTTTGTGCTGCCATTTCTGAATCTTTTAAGTACCATCACTGTGTGCAATATGAATCTAGGCAAAAGAAACATGCAGTGTTTCAAGCATCTGCCTCTTACAGTTCTTGAACCACAGGCTCATACTCAGAACCTCAGTGAAGCATCAATACACAATTTAAAGTAATTTTTCAGTCTTTTTGATCGTCTCTCTCTGAACTCAAAACACTTTTTTGAGTATATGCAGCTTAGCAACACGTAAGCATCATGACATGTACAGTTTAAAGCAGTACATTGTAGTTGTGTAATGTTTTAATATTAAACATGTGAGGAAAAGGATACTGTTGAAGTGATAGTTAAAGTGGATTTCTTTAAGAATACACAATAAAAAGCAAACCAGCATCCAAAATTTCTCCTCTGCAAATGAGCATTACTTAAACAATCATAATTCCTTTTAAAATGATCTTCATTTTGCTTACAAGAACAAACAGAACTGAAGCCACCTAGTGAGAAATTCTATTTTGCTAATTTTTATCTATTCTAATGCAAATAGTGGTTTTAATCCCCTTAACTCATCCATCATGCGTGACAGGTCAGCCAGCCCATTGTCTGTGTATTTGAAGGATTCCTGTCCAAATCAGACTTTCTGTCAGTAGCGTTGGGGAAGAGTCTTCTCCTTTCTGAATGGCTCATGTCACTGAAAAATTGCAGCTACCTTGGAAAACAGCACAGCAATTACCGATGCACATGGAAGTCGCACGGAGTCTTCGCAGATAGGTTACCAAGAGTTCCTGTCATAGCAGGGGGGAAAAAAAAAGAATGTGAGATTAAGGACATCTAGGTTTTTGTATAATCTACTAAACATCTGTAGCTGATCCCGAGAGAATGGCAAAGGTCAAGTTTTGGGATTTTTTTTTCCTGTGGGGATTTCTTTGTATATTCTGAAGCCTAAAAATTGCTGTTTGTTTTGAAATGCATTTTTGGTTGCAGTAAAATACAGTTTATAATAAGTAGAAGATAAAGTAATTGCAAAGGAGCATAAAATTTCCATGTATTTTTGTAACATTTAAATTTTAATTAAATGGGGCTTAGAGTAAATTATAAAACCTTCTTTTGTTGAGACAACTGACACTGACAAAATATTAATTAATGAATATTCAGAGAGATCTCTGGATCACTCTTCTCTCTCTTTGAAATGTGTTCTGTCTGTGTTTTTAAAAACTCAGAAGAAGAAAATTAATAAACATTGCTTATGTGGAAGGTTTCCCAGTATGAAGACCTGCCAAACAGAATCCAATGCATTGCATTAGCGTCAATGAAGACTTTTGAACCAGATGTGTCTATGGGTCTTTTTTGTTGTTTTCTTTAAAACTGAAGCTGGGACAAAACCCAAAAAGTTAAGACTTGACATGAGGAGAATATCTTTCCGTGCTACTATTAGGTCATTTCCCTTCTGCTGTATAAATTAAGTTGTGGTATTGCTTCAATCTGGGATCATTTTATTGTTTTTGTTTTTAATACAATACACAAAAAGTTCTTTTCTTTGGAAGTATCATTATGATATAACTTCAATGAGTCATTGTAATTGTTCGCTCATTAGGATCCGAAGGGATTATTTCGGTTATTTTGTTTCTGGGATCTTTTCTTTTCCCTGTGCTCTTGGGCAACCCAGTTACAGTGCACTTTGCAAGCAGTTAATTTGTGTATAATAATACTTAAGTGGCTTATTGTAATCTTGTGTGTGTGCGCCTGCATACACACACACCACTCCGGCAGCCCTCATAACCCATTTTAGGAATCCCGTGGTCTTTGTCTCCTCCTGGTCCTGTCCTAGGATGGCCATTTTTGTGCATGGTCCCTACCTAAATTCAGAGCCAGAGCCTTGTCTCTTGAACAATTTGGTGCAGATTTAGGCAACAAGCTCCAGCAGGTCTAAGACACTCGGTTATTTTTTTTGTCCCTACTCCATTCCCTGGGGGACTGTGGGGACCTGCCTGCATCCTTGGCTGTGGGTGAGCTGGGTGGCCCGGCCCTCTGGCAAGTGCCCGTGCAGAGAGATGGAAATCCTGTGCTTGATGCGTGTTTGAAGCTAATTATTTTCAGTACAAAGCAAGTGAAAAGCAGCTCCTGTTCTCTTCCACGGGCCAGAGGTGTTATCTCCTGCCTTATATTCCCATTTTTAAAGGCTGCCTAAACTGGAGAGTCCCACAGATTTGCAGATTTGAACTAGGGAATAGTAAATTCCCTAGACAGGGTCTCCCATCTTTACTTTAAGGCATTACGTATACTTCTGCTTAAAGAGGAAAAGAATAAAAATTTAAAAAAAAAAAGGCAAAGAGGGATCAAGGGAGTGTTTGCATTGGCTCACTTGGCAATTAAAAATACATAAGCGAAAGAATTGCCATGAACTTGCCCAAAGGGCTATAATAAATAACATCCTGCATAACTAGTACGTATGGTGTGCTCTATGGTTTTGAATGAAATGACTGTGTTTGTTTTTAGGGTTGTTGGTTAGGTTTTTTTTCAGAATTGTAGCAGTTGGAATACAAATAGGCTTATGTTTTTGTAATTGTGGTAAACATATTTTAAAAATCGCTGTTTGATCAACTGTAAATATTACCAGTTCAGAGGTTAAATGCTGTTGTTGAAATCATTCAGGGAAATCCAGTAGAAGTGTAAATATGGCAGAAAAAGCTAAACAATATGGCAAAGGAATATTTGCTGACTTAAGAGTGCAGGATCAACACCAATATTTTTCCAGTGATGCTAAACCTCTTGTAACTGCTAAATTGGATTTGTAGTTGAATGAAGTATCAGCTGCTGTTGGACAAGCCCATAAAGGCCGGACGGCTGGCCTTTTGTAGGCAGGGCTTAAAGGACGATTGATATGTTTTAGCACTTTTGGGATTATTGTGATTAGGAGGAAGCCATTCTGAATGATAGAGAAAAGGGTGTAAAAAACACAGTCCACAGCTGGTAAGCAGCATGTGTTTGCTATAAGGAGAGGTCATGACTAGTTGATCCTGCTGGTTCTGGCATTGATTGACAGTCGAGAAAACTTGATATGATGAAGCAGACCCTTATTTTTAGTCCCCCCTCTTTTTTTGTCTTAAAGAAGTTATGCTTCTGTCGTGTAAAGCCAAAGTATTTTCAAAATCTGGAACACTCACTAGTTGCAAGCTAAACATTCAGAGACACAGCTGCAAATTTGGAGTTGTTAAAATATCATCTAGAAATTAGTATTCAGCCCATATCTGTAAGAACAGTAAATAAGAGTTACAGAATTAGCTCTGGTGTTACTGTGTTTGCCTTTTTCATATGTGTTAGTCTTAACTAAAACCCTCTTTGTCATATAGTAGAAAATTTATGCTAAGTAGGTGGAAATTTCAAGTTTGCTGAACTTATTAACTATTATGCCTCTGGTATATCTAAGATATTCAGTGAGGAATAAATAATATGTGTAAAAAATGTTTTACCGTCCGGAAAACAGTTTTATCATTTTATTTCTATTAAACACCTGCCCTAGAAAACACATAGGCTGTTTCATCTTATCTCCACTACCCACTTGGAAATGTAGCACTTTTTTTTTTTTTTTTTTTTTTTATGAGCAGCCATCCGAAAGCTCGCAAATGCACATTTAAATAGTTGGATCTCTGACTCTTTTTAGTGGGGCTGTACCTCTTTCAAAATTTGAGTTTAGCATACCACACAGGAAAGAACACAAGCTTGCCAACTCCCGCTGAGCGTTTTTTCAAGCCTGTGAAAAGAATGAATTATTCAGCAGTAAGCATGCTTACAGCTGGCCATTTGGGAGCTTTGATGTGCGAATCAGGCGGTTGCATGAATGCCCTTATTGTCATGTTATGTGTACACAGTGTGTGAATTATTGAAAATAGTGAGGCCTGAGCCTCATCTGGTAGAGATTACAGTGCAGGCATGCTGGGTGAAGGTCTGTAATTGAAAATCCCCAGATGCTGTTTATTTGGCCTATGTCACGTGGCCTTCTGCAGAAAGCTTGTCTGAACAAAATGCTGCCCGCCTGGGAAGCGCCGCCCAGCCCCCTCCAGAGCCCTCCCAAAACCCAGCGTGCGGACGACTTAAACACCTGCCCATAATATTTTTTAAAGCTTAAATTAGATTTGCCTATAACGTTTAAATAGAGGATGCCTTACTTAGGGGTTTAAACTGCTTAGCCAGTTGTTGACTTGCAGAGCTCTTTTATCTACAAGAGGCTTTTTGTTAGCCAATTTAGCTTTAAAGCGTCTTCAGAAAGCGGCACCGGCAAATTTTAGGCAAGCTCTCCCAAAGCCGGATATTCCACCGGCAAAACGGAGAGGAAAAGTGCTGGGGCCGAGCGCTGCAGCAGAGTGGCTCTTCCTCCGAGGGTTGCGAGCCTGATCACCCAAAGAGCCGCATGGCCGCCTTTCGATGGAGGAACATGTTCAAACCAGCTCGTCCCTGCTGGTGATGTCTGTGCGCAGACCCCCACCCCGCAACGTCGGGTGGGATCTGGATCTGTGCTCAGCAGCGAGACAAAGGGCTCAGTGCCGCTCGCCAGGGCTGCCCCAGGAGAGCGCTCGCTCATCAGCAGGCTCCTCATCAAGCAAAATTCCTGCTAGCTCTCCAAATTTGGCCCTGGGCACATATGCGGCACTTATCCATCACCAGGCTGTTCTAGTAGCTTCAAGCGCAGGCCAACAAAAACGGAGTTTACCAAAACCAGCTGAAAACCTTTGCTATGGTGAACGTACGGCCGTGAGCACGACTTGCAAGATGAAATGTTTGTGGGGATCTGTCCTCAGACTTTGTGCTAAGGATGTGAAATACCTGTTTCAAGCCACAGTCCTGTAGAATTTGGAGAAAATCATAGTACGCCATTATCTGAAAAAAATTGGTTTTTCTACTTGGTCATTACTTGAATTATTTTGCCAAGTATGAAAACTTTTAAAATTAGCTGTTCATTTTCAAATTGCTAACTGGCTTGATTTCCCACACTTGCCTATTTTTGTCACGTTTGGATGGTGCCTATTACTGGGAGCTGGGAGGGCGGAGGTTTAATTTGTGTCATTAATGTTCTAAATAAAGATGCCCGCCTGCCACACGGCCGGCAGCTCTGCAGGGATGTGATGCACCGGCTCGCTGCCCCACTGCCGGTGGGGACCGGGTTTGAGAAGTAATGCCCATGGCCGGGACCTGGCGTGGCTGAGTATATATATGTCCACACCTCACATAGGTCCTGGTAGAGCTGCCTGTTGTGACCTGGTGGCTCCCGTTGACCTGGCAGAGGTGGTGGTGCCATTTTTGGCCTGTGAAGGGGTTTCTAGTTAGGCCCTCCTCACCCTGGGGATGATTTTCACCTCCAAGGACCTTGTCCATCCTGGGCGAGTGGGGCCAAACCCCCGCTCAGCACCAAGGATGGCACCCGGGAGCCTCATGGGGACCTTTGCGAAGGCTGATGCTTGGGCTGCTTTAGGCTGTTTCTGGAATAACGTTAGTGGGGGAGGCTTCTCTACACAAGGGCCCTCTGTTAGAGCAACAACTGCCTCCCCAAGAGAGAGGCGGGTGGGAGCCTCCCCACTTTGCAGCTGCTTCTACTTATTTCGAACAAGAGCAGAAATGTCAGTCCTCCATGCTGCCTGTGAGGTGTCCAGGATCACAACACGCTCCCTTGTTTAGGGCGATGCTTCTCAGGGATGGGGCAGTGGTTTGGGAAGGCAGAGGGAGCCCGTGACCCCACTGGTTGGCGGGAGCAGAGCTGCCCTGCGCACCCGGCTGTTCCCTGGAGGGGCCACAGTGAGGCTTTGGCACCCCGCGAAGCCTCGCGGGTTCTCTAGCACCTGCACCCTTTTCTGGCTGAACCCCCTTTTTGCTTTCTGCCATAATTAAAAAAAATGTTCTGTTGTGTAAAATGCCTCTTCTTCATCACCAGGCTAGGGAGAATTATAGTTTGCAATTGTACTGACAGTACAGAAGGGCATGACAGATATAGCCTGAATTTGAAAGGAAAAAAAAAACCACAAAGAACAAGAAGCAAATAACAAGAAACAAAATATTTGTTGTAGTCCTCTCCTGATCTTTTCAAGGTCCTTGGAAAAGACTCCTGTGCTGTGAAGATGTTTTATCTGACTGGGCTGCTCCACATGCCTCTCTTTGATACCTGAACCAAAACGTTCTAAGTAGGAGACTGTCATAGTGGATGACAAGAAGAAGGAGCTGAACATTTACAGTTCATAAACCTGACCCCTTCTCTTCTGCCAGGCAATTTCTCAGATATATATGATGGAGAGAGAGGGAGAATGTGGGGTGTGTATGGAAAGTATTTCCACAGCTGAGCTCTTCTTAGGCAAAACCAGATCTATTTATTAATGAGCATTTTTCACCCTAAGGTTTCTAATGGTCAATTAAAGAAGTTCCTTGAGCTTCTTTTTGTTTCACACTCTTCTCATTCTCAAGAACAGGAAAAGGTGGGTTTAGGATTATTCAGCCTTCCTTTCTTTAAAATCCTCTCTGGGCCTTAGTTGACTGGGAGATAAGATCTTTTCTGTTAGTGTCTGTCAGAGTTGGTAAATAAGAACATCAGTGTTTGGTAGGTAACATGGAGGCTGTAAACATTTAGTTGAGGACATCTATCTTGTATATGTCACGCAGTGCTTATGTTTGCGTTTATGGCTTTTTGGTAGTCCAAAAAGAAAGTTATGTCTTTTCAGGTCACTGTGGCTGCGCAGAAGATACTTGGTGTGCCTCATGAGGCTCTCCTGCTCTGGCTAAACCTGGTGCATGTTTCCTCGCTGTGTTGAAAACCTGGCTGTAAGGAAAATCTAAGGCTGTTGCCGTGGCCACTTTGCATGGTTCATTGTAGAGGTTCTTCTCACTGAAAGTCAAATTATTCCACCCTGTTGGCTATTCTCGAGCTAGGCTCCAGATAGACTTCACCTTAAGGGGAAGTGATCACTTTGCAAAACCACAGTCTTGTTAGTCGTCCCCCTGCCGGTCTAGATAGCGGCTGGAGAAACTCCCTCTTGATTGAAGCAAAAGCACTTCATGGATGGACTGGGGGTCAACTGAAGGCAACAGTTGACTGGTATTTTGAATAATACAGTCTAGATTTTCAGTGCTTGGTGTTTTTTATAAGGCTGCTTTTCCTGTCAAGTGGCTGCCTGGAAATCTGAGCTTTCCTTTAAAAATAGTTTTTTAGCTCTCTTGACTGGGAAGAAAACTGTGAAACTGTGAGAAGGTTTAACTCTTCCTTCCTTAGCTATGGCTGAGGACTATGTAGGACTGCCTTAATGGGCAAGGGATGACTGGAGGGGATGTGTGCTTTGACCAGGTATCTGAAATCTTCAGTGCAGACACTGATGATGGCAATGCATCCTTTACATCACCTATAGAATCATTGACCTTGCAGAGTCACCAGCTACTGATAAGGACAATCTGACAACTCCTTTTGCACCAAGAAGCTATTCTGGGTGCTTAATGTAGAGATATGCAAAGAAGGTACTTTCCGTAGGGGGGACCTTCCCCAATTAAATCAAAATGCGCATTTAGAAATATGAAAATGTTCATAGCACCTGTCATACTGGTGATTGCAGGAATATGGTGATCTCTGAATCTCACTGATCGCAGAGGGCTGCTTTTGCAGGCTACTTGCCCTTTGGGCTCCTCATTTGCAGGTAGTAAAATGCATCTTCCTGGGTTTTTTTTAACTTTTGTGCACCTCTTTACTGTCTGCTAGCCTAGTAGTCATTAAAGGGACACTGCAGAGACATGAAAAGTACCAAGCAAGAAGGTTTTGGAAAACTCTTGTCCAAAGCACATTTAATATGATGTGCCATCATTGTATACGTTTTCCTTTCCTTTCTTGTTGCTGTGGCCTCAGGCTCTCAACCTCTCTGTCAGAGAGCTTTTCCCAAGCTGTATGCTATTTTTCCACTGTAGAACTTTTCCATCTAATGTTAATGAAGAGTACAGCAGCTCCATTTTTGCTTGTGCCCAACACCTGCAAGTGAATTTGCAGTCCTGTCACTGTGGGGTAGCTGCTCATATAGCGCGAGGACATAGTGGGACAGCCACCGTTATGAAATCTCATTCTCCATATTTGAAGTTAACTGTTTGCATGATGAGAAAGAACATGAGAATAGAGAGATAGAGAGATTGAGTAGTCCCTGGTTTCACCCCTGAACACAAAGGCTCTTGTTCACTGAAAATGGCAAGTACCTTGAGGGCACAACAGGCTGCAGAAATGCTGCCCAGCCAAAAGACAAAGTCTTTGCGTGAAATCAGGTAACTTGCTGCTCCTCTGTTAGCACATGGAAGTCCCTCATTTGTGTGTAGAAACGATTGTGTAACTGTTTGCTCACACAAAATTTACGTCTTGAATTTTGTCCTGAAAAGGCTTGCTGAGGAGCTATGAACCTCACATCGCCATTACAGTGGGATGTGGGAAATCCGGTACGCAGTCCAGAACAAAACAAAAAGGCAATCAGAGAAAACAACCTCTACTCTGAAGCGTGTTGGTATTTCATATCCTAGCATCCATTTAGCAAGCAAACCATGGAAGTGACAGGAGCCATGAGACACTCAATACAAAGAGTGTAAAATAAGGCTCAGAGGGAGAGAAGGAAAAAAAGAAAACGAAAGTCCAGTTTGACTAATTGTGTTCAGTCTTCCAGTCAACAAAACGCCCTTCAGACACAGGCAGGCTACTTCAAGACGTCCCTGTCTCTTTCCCACAACATCAAACTGAAGGTGTTTGAGTCCGTGGCTGATATAATAACTTTCTGCACTCCCCAGCTATGTACTCATCCACTTTAAAATAACTTGGTGGGTGACAAGTTATTTTCTTAACCTCCTCCTTTTCAGCTTGCTGCTCAATCAGTTTTCTCATTTTCTGCACATGGGCTGCTTATCCCCTGTGCTGAATGCAAATAACTCCATAACTTAGGACTTGTTGAACAAGTATATTGAAGTTATTACAACTCATGGAGAAGTAACATAATATGCAGTGAAAATAAACAGCGCACCACATAAAACTGTGTTATCTTCCATGTCAGCAATATTTAGGAAGGAAATTATTTGGAAAGAAAATGTTAAGTTTGTATTAGGTAGCATAATGTGTGACTGAAGAAGAATTAAATAGCCATTTTAGAAACTTTGAAATACTCTGCATTTCCAAGAGAAATAGAGCTCTAAATAACAAACCACCGTGTTGATCGGCCCCACTGCAGCAGGAACGTAGGCACCGCAGGGTGACCACTCTTGTGCGTAGAGTTAAGGGTGTGATTGGTAACCTTCTGAACTGGCACAGCGATTTCAGTCAGTGGAGGAGGCAGAGTGCTTCCTGGCAGAAGGGCAGATTTTGCTATCCTCCTTGTAAAATTAAAACATGGAGAAAAGCTGATGCGAAACGGTAGCATCTGAGTGATTGGCACTTCGGCTTGGGTGGCACATGACCTCCTCAAGAGCAGCTGCTCATCCCAGCAGGGGTCCAGGTGGGCCGGAGGGGCAAACACCACCTGACACCATCAGAAGCAAAACCAGAGTAGTCCAGACCTCATGTTAGTCCCTGGCATGGGGGTTTCTCCAGCAAGAGGTAGTCCTGGGCATCACCACTGGCCAAGGAAGTGCCTCTCTGCCTGCGAACTGCTGCAGGACTTCAGTGGGAAAACACTGAGCCTGTAGTTCTCTGCACATGGTTCATGTGGCACGTGAAATGTCTGTTAAGGAGAGGGAAGAGAAATACTGATGAGAAATACTGATAAATAGTTTGCAAAGGAAAAGTAGAGTAGGTGTATGAAAACATAAGCCTCATATGCATGGAACTCATATGTTTAAATGTGGTATTTTGATGGTGTTTATGAATGTGATGCTGCTTGTCCCTTATCGTGAATTCTTCTTTGTTTCAGGTAGGAATGAATTGATAGCCAGATACATCAAACTTAGAACAGGGAAGACACGGACCAGGAAGCAGGTAAAATAACCCAGTGGGGAAGTATGCATGTCAGTGAATGACAAAACATGGCATTTTTGGCTGCGGTGGCTGTCTGTGCTTCAGCTCTGATGAGATGACGTATTGACTTCACTGTTCAGATTAAAGACACATTGTTTAGAAAATACTTAAAACTCTGGGGTTTTTTTATGTTGTGCATCATTTCAGTGGTGGTTTGAGGATGCATTTTTTATTAACCTCTGTGTACATGAAGCTATTATCCCCTGCATTTGGGAAAAAAGAAAATTCAAATGTTGAAGCAGAAGCATAAAACATTGTGCCTTATTTCTCTATAAGGACAATTACAGAATATACTTATTATTATGAGATAGTGAATAATGGAACTTCTGAAAGTCCAGCCAAATTGCCTATATAATAGAGCTTATGATACTTGCGTATGAGAAGTAAGTAAATAAATAAAAGCTGTCTAGCAGGACTGATCCTAATCATGCTCTCAGCTCACGGGCAGTTCTTGCTACAGGATGAAAAAATAATAAAAATATTCCCCTAAGAGCCTTCAGGCTCCTGGTCTGTGACCATGGTAAGATTTCATTCATCAGAGTCAGAATAAACCTCTAACCAGTGTTAAGTCTTTTTCAGATGATTATCACATAACCATTAACTTATCGCATATGACTAAATCCTTTAATTTACAATATCCGTGGTGATCAGCAGCCTCACGGAAGGCACACACTCTGTGTAGCGTATGCGGTGGTTACTAAACCCTTGCACTGTTTCAAAAGGCTTTGCAAATCGCAGAGTCCCCTCACTTTCTCTAACGTCAAGTGCAAGACTCCCCTTCTCCCCATCCGTGTGCATGACAAAGGGGAAGGCAGAGGCTCGTACACGTGCATGCTACGCGAGTTTTATAGTACAGCGAAAGGTGACACTGAGTCAGCACACACAAAGATGGCCTGCTGCCAGTGCTCGGATGTAAAGCACTTTGAACTGGGTGATATTTTGCCCTGGGTGGTGTCCTTTGTCAGTCAGGAAGAAAACATACGTACAAGGGATGAAAAAGGCCATAAGAAAGGAGAGAAACTGCAGCACATGGAGAAGGAACAAACAAAAGATCGGCAAAGAAATCTGAAACAAAAGACAAAGTCCCAAGTTCTGCCCTGCTATGCCCATGCAAGCTCCGGTAGTCAAGGGTTACACTGGGATCTTAAAATTGCATCAGGAGTCAAAATGCAGACCTTGGAGCTATATCCTTGGCCAGCGTGTGCTGGTAGAGCTGTGGTGAAACCATAATGGCTGTGATGGCTGACATATGGTGATGTTCTGCCTCTGTGGTTGCACATCCCTCTAAAGCAACTCATAAATCACTTTAGACCAAGTGTTTAGAGAAGTTTGATTGTTGTAACTTTTGAGCTTCAACTGAGCAAATAGATGTTATTATTGTGCTTCTTCTATGACCTTTAATGCCATAATATCCCACTGAAAGCAAAACAAATGGATACATGTGAAAACTTGGTCTATGTCTTTGACTACAGAATTGCTTAGTAAGCAATAATATAACTGAATTACTGCAAACCGGTTCCTGAGCTGCTTCCTGAAGAAGTCTCTGTAGGTGGCCTTCAGGGGCTGTGCTCATTTATGTATTACTATTTGCTTCCCTACTGAAAACACAGGCTTTTTGGTACTGTTGTCATGGAATAGTCTTACAGAGGAAGGAAATCAAGCTTTGCTTCTCCGTTTCTTTTGCTTTGTTTTTTCTCAGACAGGAATTGTAACTAACTTAGGAAAAATGCACAACACCTGATATGGTATACCCTGGGTCGAATAAGAATAAGAGATTTCTCTGCAGCGCTTTTTGCCATCACTGCAGGCTTTAAATCTTCACGCAGAGGGCTGCAGGATGCTGAGCACTACTGAGCGATGATGGGCAGTATCATTAAACCCTCATCATCAATACCGTGGATTTCAGTATGTGCCTGAGTAAACAGGAATGTGAACCTGGGCCCAGATCCTTCACTTCACAGGCAACGACTTCTGACCAGTAACTGGTCTAGTAGCAGGACTGGGTTTACACAAATTTCTTACCAAAATGTAATAATGATGGGCCAAACCTTGACATCACTCAAGCTGATGTCAAGTTACTGGTCCCCACTTACACGAGTGTTTTGTGGGCAGACTCGATGCTAAGACTACGGAGGAAGCCAGCACAGGTTCAGGGACCTATGTTGTGGCAGTATTTTATTATTTGTTCCAGAATTTAGAGTACTTCAGCGAGGTCAAAACACAGCCTGAGGCTCCTGATTGGAGCTGCAGAACACAGTAAATAATGGATAAAACCTCTCAGTGCCAAGTTATGTCTCGAGCCTAGTGGCAAATGGTCAGAGTGGGCATCTGCATCGCTGGCAGATGGGGTAGAAATCATGTCGGCTCTGTGTGCAAGAGCGCAGGGCCGGGCCACAGATGGGATCCGTACCAAAGCACGTGGGCTGCGTCCAACTGCGAACTGTGTCTTCCGTCTTGTAACTGAATGCACAACCCGGTGGGTTACTTTTTTTTTTTTCCTTTTTTTCCCTTAATCAAGTCACTGCAGTGATGACCTGTATTGTTAAGCCTCGGTGCTAAGAGCTTGGTATCTGGCTGGGAATGTGGTATCTTTAACAGCAGATCTTACTGAAGATGCAAATAACTTCCTCCCCTCAGAAAAGTTATTTTTTTCTAAAAGAAAAAAAATAGACCTTTTAAATTTGATTTGCTTTTTGTTTTTCTTTTGTTTGTTGTTTTTTTTTTTTTTCCCCATAAACCTGAACAATGTAGGTGTCTAGTCACATACAGGTCTTAGCAAGAAAGAAAGTTCGAGAAATTCAAGCCGCCATTAAGGTACGTTTGGCTTGCCCAGTTGTAGGGGGCTTTTCATCTCCATGGTTACAGGCTTTTCCTTTGTTTCCTCCCTTCCCCTACCCTGCAGGTGTCTAGTCACATTCAGGTTCTTGCCAGAAGGAAATCTCGTGATTTTCATTCCAAGCTGAAGGTATGCGCTTTTCTGCTTTTGGGCTTGTGGTTGCTATGCCTGTCTCTTCCTCCTCCCCGCGGTGATGGGCGAGCGCCTGGTGCTGCCGTGCCTGTAACCTCGTTTTCCTGCATGTGGGAGCTGTCTGCGTCTCTTTGTGTTTAATCTCCGGTTTCTGCACTAGCATCCACATTAAAAACGTTGTTTTAACACTGTCCAAATGCAAAGTGAACTACTCTTCGTAACAGCTCAGCACCTAAACCTGATTTTTAACCCGTTAGTCTATTTTTTATTTTATTTTTTTTAACAATTGAGCGCTAGGAGTGTATATAAATACACAGGGTTTTTATGCAGTTATGTAGATGCTTTTTCTTTTTTGCTTTTTCCGGAGGGGTAATTGGGGTAATTGTTTTCCATTCCCAAATGTTTTTCATCTGTGCTTTTGAAATGCTATCAAGAATACTTAAAATAGATCATTTATTCCAAGTGCCAGAGAGCACAGCTTATCGAGATTACTCTAACCATAAGGTGTTTCTAGAGTACAATCTAGTATCACCTCAAGTTATGGACTATTTACAAGATTCCCTGAAATATTTTTTTTTTTAAGTAAAATATTGACATTTGATCTTTGGAGAGCCTCAGTCAGAGTCCCATTCAGGGAATATTAAGTATGTTTGCTTAATCTGACGTGATGAATTGTACATGTCCCCGTTTTCCCTGGTTTCCATAAAATAGATTATAAGGCTAAAAAGAAACTCTTGTAAATGCTTAATAGGGGTTTCTTGGATTGCTTGTTTTTCCAAGTTTTCCAGCAGGGATCTTGGGACCCTTTTTGTTTTGTTTTCACATTATTTAAAAGTGGAAGAGGAGGTTTTGCAGTTTTTGCTGTTGATTTTTTTTCTTTTTAATAAAAAGCAAAGGAAATTGTAAATCTTTCACTTCCCTACTTTTTTCTGTCGATTTTTCTTTTTTATTATTTTTCCCTCAGATGAGAACAAATCATGTTTTTGTTTTAGCTGAAAAGCAAAATGCTTCAGAAAGTAATTTCACCATACTAAGCGGTGAGCACTGCGGATGCTTACCACGATCCTAGAACTGCAGCATCCAAATAACAGCCTGGCTTTGTAACAGGCCTCCTTGACAGAAGCACTGGGTTTTTCATCCGCAGTGGGCAGCATGCTGGCAAGCTTGTATGGCTGTTGGTGGCTGGCTTTTTAGCTGCACTGGCTGAGCAGTTGGGGTTCGTAAAGAACGACTAAGACAACTTAAACGTACTGCTTTTTAACCGAGGGTGCAATAATACAGAGATATGTAGCATTTTAAGCTTAAATTGTCAATCCTTGATGCCTAAAATTAAGTATGTAAATAGGTAGCCTTACTTTCAGAGGTGGTCAGCACCAGCAGCTCTCAGGGAGTTTTATAGGACTGGTGAGTGCTCAAGATTACAAAAATCAGGACGCCCACTTAGATACCAAAATACAGACCTAGGAGCCTAGCAAAAATATTGCATTTACTGTTCTGAAATACTTCCCTTTCTAAATGCCCAAAATAGCTTAAAATATGAAGACACTCATAAAGCAAAAAATATTTTTAAGTACTGCACCTGCTGTCTGATTTTAATTGAAGCTTTCTAAAGAATAAAGAAGCTAGCTAAACCCTAATAATATTTGAGACCTCTAGCCTAGATGCCATTTGCAGTAAATAGAGATCCAGAGGGATTTTTCATTTTAAGGAGTCGCCTGAAGAAGGAAAGATCTGTTAGGGCTTCAGACCTGGCTGCCCCTTCCCACCCGTCAGTGAGCTGCAGCTCCCTCAGAGCTGAGTAGAAAGTGGGGGAGCTACTGTTTTGGTGGAAGGAATTGATTGCTTTAAGAAGAGTCTGCCACCTCCATGCCTCCAGTGGGTCCTGAGCTGCTCCTCCTGCCCCTGCTTCTGGGTACTCATGCTGCCTCCAGGATTTAGCTCCCCCAGGAGCCCCGGCACAGCCCTGGTGACTCCTCCACAGCCCCCAGCTGGAAGAGTGCCCAGAGAGGGCAGAGAAGCCAGGCTTTCCCCTTCTCCCTCCTCTTCTTCTTGCTGTTCTTGGTCTCAGAGAGCGAGGTGCCAAGGCACACAGGCCTCTTCTGGAGAAGTTGCAACCTCCCACAGACCTTTTTCTCCCCGCACGGAAGGGATGAAATGTTGATGCAAGAAGGTGCTGTAAGGAGTCTGCCTCTATGAGAAAGAGAGCCCTCACTTTTTCTGCCAAGAAGCTGCAGCAATTACTCCCTAGAAATGGAAGAAGCCACTGGTTTTGGACCTGAGAAGGAACCTTGCTGCTCCAGATATTTTGTTAGTGCTACTGCCCATGGCTACTTCCCGTTTTCCTTATTATTCCTGTATTGAACAATCTGTATGGTCCAGTGTCCTTTGAAAATTGCCTGAGAAGGACATCGCTGATGTGAAAGACAAAATGAATATCTTTTGGCATCTATGAGTGCCCATTGTTTCAATGGGGACCACTTTGGCAGCAGCCTGGACTGCCCCATCAACCTCCTCAGGAAGATGGTGGGCTCTTGTTCTCCTTGGAGCGAGTGCTGCCCCTGTTTACCGGTGAAGGGGTGATCCAAGAAGAAGACAGCCAAGGGAAGCACTGCTTCTGACCCGCGCCAATCTTGCCCTTTTAACAGTGAGCTGGCGCTTGCAATTGCTCTGTAAAGCCTGTGATTGGTGGCATCCAGAGGAGCAGTTACTACTTAAAATAACACATGCATCTGATGTCGTTTCCTTCCTACAGCATGAAGAGGAAGCACTGTGGGGATTAATGCGGAGATCCTTCATGCCAGTTCATAGCTACGAGTTCAGTCAGCTCTGACCCGAGGCCATCTCCATCTCCCATGTTTCTTCTTCTTGCCACCAGACGTCCCCTCTGTGCACCTCCCATGCATACAGGGGCAGGGTATTGCAGAGAAACTGGTCATTCCCTGTGTGCCAGCGTGGCTTTAGCTGAAATAATCACCGGCAGGCACTTGAGCATTGCAGGGGCACGGCACGAAGGATCTTGTCCCCAAGCTGACATCTGTTGCTAGCGGTTTTCTTCATAATACCATTTCTTATCGATCTCTCAGGATGTGGCCGATCTGTCCTGTTGACCTCAGTTCCTCGTCTCTTCCTTTGACGAAGGGTATAACAAATAACTCTTGTTCCCCAAGTACCTGCTGAGTTTATTTTATACCAAGAGATCTTTCTGCCTCGACTTGATCTGAATCCTGCTTATGGCAAGAAGAGGACTCGAGCAGATCTTCCTGTGTTTATCTTCTGTGAAAATCCAAATGGATGGAAGGATTTCAGAGCTATCTGCACCCATGGCATTGGATAGAATATTACTAAAGCTTACCTAATAGATGGAAATCTCACCAGCATGCCATAAAGTCTGCTTGGTCCAGCAAAGTCCCTGTTCTTTGATGATAAGTGCCTACAGTCGCTCTGGACAGATGGATCCTTAGCCTGCAAGAAAGAGAAGTTTCACCCGTAAATGCTATCGCTGCATTTTAAGACCACCAGTAGAGAATGTCCCATCAGCCCTTCCAGGGGTGTTGTACTTTTTATTTCTTTTTACAGCAGGAAAATACTCCTGTTTTGGAGATTTTAATCTTAATTTTCTGAGGTTATTAAAATCTTCCTGAAGTTAGAGAAATTTCACCTAATGAAAATGGAAAGAGAGGCTGAGATAAAGCTGTCCTTGGAGACAGGTCTGAAAGGCGGCTCCCCTTCATGACACTTCCTCTCATGCAGAGACTGGAGGAGGAGAAGAAGAATTTTTGAACTCTGATATTGTATTTCCGTGTCAAATACACCAGTCTATAGTGTTAGGTTGCAGCATTTCCCACCTTTGCACTGCCAGGGAGCCAAATCACCTCTGTCCATTTACAAGAAAAGATCTATTGGAAGTTGTGCATAAATAGAGAGTAAAGGTCCTCACAGCAGGATATACATCTGTCTTAGACTTTCATTTCAGATATTTTTTCATAGTGCAAGATTAATTAGACAGAGACAAAAAGAAACATTAAAATGCCTACAGTTTACACATATACATGTTTTAAAATCCATTATTCTACATTCCACATTGAGGGATAAAAAGAAAATATTGTTGTCAATTATAAAATGCTAAAGATAGCTCTATACTTTTTAAATGAACAATGATAAAAGCCTTGAAAAATTCCCTTTGATGTGAATGGAGTCTTCAGCATTTTGAAATACAATAAGATGGATTAATTGCTACTCATTAGGCAGCAAGTTGGGACAGCTTTGAATGCGCATTCTCTTCTTGGCATTAGCTATTGCCTGGCTGAAATAGCCAGCTTTTGTATTTACTCCTATCTTCTCTAATAATAAGCAAATTGGAGATCAGGGCTAGAAACACTGAAGTGCTCTCTATCTTTTGTCCAGAACAATTGTATATTTTCATGATTTGTTTATCTTTTTTGAGCTACAGCTAATTATTGCAAAGGTTATTTGAATCAATACGAGATCTGAGCAGAAATAACATCTGCAAAATTGCTTATTAGGAATCTATTTTATGTTAGTGTTACTGTAATATCCATTTTGTGAGCAAACTGTTGTTTCTTCTCTTATGTCATTTTTTTTTCCTTACAAGAAAAGTTTTGTATTTTAAATATTGGTGTAGGTTTTAGGGCTTCTTGAATTAATACTGTGTTCTGTTGTGCTTACTTTTCCTCATACTGTCTTAGGCTTTTTTTTTCCAAAGTCATAGATAACATGATATTCAAAGCCCCATTTATCATTCTAGGATAACAGGTTTTATTTTTTGCTGTAGAACTCATTTGAACTGATTGATTGAATTATTCTTCTGTTTGTGTTGGATTATAAGAAAGTCAAGCACAAATCCTTTTGTGCTTGTCATGTAGAACTCTTGTTTCATGTGGGGCTTTTATAGATATTAATATGTATAATTGGATGATACTGGGAAATTATTATTATCTAATTTAACTATGTATTTTGCATTCCAAAACTAATGGGTGAAAAGTAAACCCCAAGGGCCTGATTCATTAAAAGTTCTATAGTCTCCTTGCATTAGATTCTTAGCGTTTATGCCTTCCAAAAACAAGATGTTTGCAACTGCAGCCAGAAGCAGTCAGCTGAAACATGAGGCAGATCCTGACCTCCAGTACAGTGATGACATTTTAGGGGTTTAGTGGAACCAGACCAGATTTCCACTGATTGTACTCTAAATCCACCTCGGTAACATTCATTACTACTTCCGTACTACAGCATAGAAGACTTTTATAAAGGGAGAGGGGAAGACAGCAGTCTAAGAGTGCAGTCTGTTACTTACTACAGTGTCATTCCTGGGCAGCAGCAATCCCATCAGAGCTCATAAATTAAGTAGGGTCAAGTCAGGTCAGGGCCAGATGGGACCTATCCAAGGAATACCTTAAGCTCCAGCAGGATTTAATGATTCAGTAGGAGATACTGTCCCCCCAAGCCTCTGCTGAGCCTCAGCACGGAACTCTGCCGCACGCTGGGTCAAACTTTTATTTTACATACATCAGCGTAAACCTCATTGACCCGAAACGATTTATTCCAGCTTTATACAGCAGCACGAGTGAGAGCAAAACCAAACCCTTTCTGTCTTGGACAAGATAGGAAATCAAAGTCTAAACTATTTGCCATCATTAAAAATCCCACAACGTTCCTGTTTAGAGTAGGGGTGTTAACCCATTTGTCCTGGCCAAATTCCAACCTGGGTAATTACTGTAATCTGCCTGTTTAAATTACCCCTGCCGTTTTAATTGGATATATTACTTCTCGTGCTGCCTAAACTGTGATGTAATACCATTGTGTGTTATTAATCAGTTACCAAGTTTCATCCCAGAAGCGACTGCATTGCAGCGATAGGTAGAAAGATTCATTCTCTCCTGGTTATGAGCGCTCTCCGTTACAGCATTAAAAAAACCCAACATATACTTGTTTTTTTAAGTGGCAGACAAGGTAATATTTCAATCTAAATAAACAGCTTTAAAATGTGAGTTTCCCATTTGTTTTTGAAGACTATGAAGTCTGCCTGATTACACAAGCATAGGTCACCACCTTGCCGCTCTCCAAAACATTCCTGGAGCTGAAGGTGTTTTTTTGCCAATGGAAGTCAGGACCTCTTATGTATTTGATTTTAATTTTGAACTTGATTTCTGTAATGTTTGAATGTGAAGTTACAGTTTCTTTGAGAAAAACTGATCTTCCAACTGTGCAGAGGTTCCTAAGCCTACAAAAGGTGAAACTTCTCATTGACCTGTGTTGACCTGATCAGTTGACATCCAGTGGAGCTGGCAGATTTGTCACCTTGGGAAACATTGTAGAAGTTGTTGACACTCCTCAAGACTAGCTCTATTGCAAGGGCTGTATTTCTGAGCTGTCATCCTATACATTTTTACTTTCTCTCCATCCTCCTGAAAATGTAATAAGTCAAAGAGGATGAGATGAATGGCCACCACAAAATGTAGGACATTCTGGAGTGAAAAGCAGCAATTGGCAAGAAGGAAGGCACATCCCTTCTCATGTCATGAAACAAAAGATGTTTTCTCCCTCCAAAAATCCTTGTCACTGTTCCTAAAATTGAGGATCATCAGACTCACTGCTAATGGTGGCTAAGAGCTCTACGGGACAGTCTAATGTTCCTCCTTCTGTCAACAGAAGATATTGAAGGAAGTGTAAATTTTTGGAAATTTTTCTTCGGTTCATCTGTTATGGTGGGATTTACCTGCTGTAACTGTTGCCATGAGAAGTTGGGTGTCCAGGCTCCTATTCTAGTCCTTGGACAGTGATAACATTACAGAAAGTAATGCACTCCAGTTGGTTTTGATGCCTGGTAATGAGAAAATAGATTGTAAGTGCTTACTGCACTAACAATAGCAGGAGGTTAGCTGTCTGCCTTAGACTGGAGACTTTAGACAGCTAAAGGAAGGTGAGATAAACTATGTCATAGCTACATAATTTGCCCTGGACTCGTGCAACTCCCAGATAAGGACTTTTATGTCCCTAAAGAAGCTTTTACTTTTAAATTCTCCTTTAGTTTATATCCACCTACTAGTAAGGCCCTTATAGCAGCAGAACAGTATCAGTGCGAGAGGTTGGCAGGAGCACAGGCACTGGCCGCACCTTCACACGGTGGCACTGGCATGGCTGTTTGGGGCCAGGAGGCAGTGCAGGAGAGGAGGCTGTAGTGCCAGCAGTTGTGGAGAATAACAAGATAGTCACAAAAGGGAGTGCTCACATAGTTTTGGGGGTTGCTAGGACCCAGAGGCAGATGTTTCTCTCGAATCATGCAGTTCACACACAGGATATGGATCCCCTATATGTTTGGTTTTGTTACGATTCAGCTGACTGTGGGTGAGACTTGGATGGTGCGGCATTTCCAAGCCAGCTCACCTAATGAAAAAAGCAGGGAAAAGGAACAGAAAAGTCTGGTAGGGCTAGCATCTCCATATTGCTTAAGGACATCTCCTTATTTTCATGTTTTCATGACGGAGGGTCCTTCCTTCTGTGCAGGGTAGAGAGGTCAGCTTTCTGGAAAGCCGCATGAATCTGAGGACGCTGCCACCTCTTAACACCCACCAAAGCATTTTTGCCCAGTCGTCTGCAGCCATCCAAAGGCAGCCAGGCTGTGCACAAACCTCCTGTGCACACCCTCCTACCCTGGGGCAGGCAGAGGCGAGTGCCAGCAGCCAGCAGAGCCAGAGCTGACTTCCAGCTCTTACCCAGCGAATTGGTCGTACTTATACAGGAAAGCTACAAGTTGGAGAAACGACCAAGTTCTGTTCATGCACTGATGGACAGCATGTCCCCCTGCCTCCAGAAGCTGTCTGTAGGTGCACCGTCAGCTGCAGCAAGGCGATCCTGAGGCTTGGCCAGGTCAGAAGGCAGCGTCCAGCGCCGCTGTGCTGGAGGTAGCGCAGGTGAGTCTGCAGGTGTTAATGGGGCTGCGGGCAGCACCTCCGCCCATTGCGCTTCAGGCTCCCATCCTGCGAGGTGCAGAGCAGGAACGCTGCTGGAGCAGCTACTCCCCTGCTCCACCTGCCGCTCTCCCGGGCTGCATCCCACAGAGGCGCCCACAGGGGCTCCTCGCACAGCTCTGGGAAACAAGCTCAGCAACAATCCCCTTCATTCAGTATCTGCAGCTTTCGCACAGGGAGGTGGGGATTATTTCCCCCAGTGTTTTGTTGTTAGGGTTTTTTTCCTTTTTTTTTCTTTTTCTCCCTTTTAATGAATCAGTCCCTAGGTGAAAATAATGCGTTTGTTTAAATCTGATATTTAATGTTGAGCAAACTTCTCTTCCTTTGTCTCATACTATTTTGTTCATATTTTGCTAAGAATCTGCTATTCTACACAAGCATTTTAATAAACTGTTTGTTGTTGTATCCAGGTAACAAGCATGGTAAGTATTTTAACTAAACCAAGTATTATGTACCTTAGCTGTGCTTGGCAGAATTTTTGGCTAGCTTTTCCTGTACTTTCAGCCTGTGCTGTTTCTAAAGGAGCTATTCAAAGGAAGAAACTGCTCACCTATAGTACTACTACATACAAGCTTTAGAGGGAGCATACGTGCAAAGTCATGTATCATATATAAGAGCATGCATCTCTTGCCAGCATGCTTGCTACTTTGCTTGTAAAATAAAACCAGCAAAAAAAAAAAAAAAATCTTTGCCTAATACTGCTTGTGTTCCTTCGTTCTAAGTCACGTACCTAAATATTAGCACTTATTAATACAGTACTTCTGGATGAGGAGCCCACTCTACCAGATAGCAGCAGTCTGTTGTTTACTTATTTTACTTGACCTAAGATGCCCACTTAGTTAACTCTGTTGCATTAAAAGGCTTTCTTTTTCTGTTCTGTGATCATACTTGATTGGCAGTGACTAGGACTCCAAGTGCTGCTCTAATACAAGTAATCAGTAACAACCCATCTTTTCCTGAACTTGTTCCTGTATGCTTGAAAACAGCAGAAATTTTATGTCCGATTGTTTTCTTTGGGAACACTGCAAATCAGTAAAATACCACAATTGGAAGTTTAGAATGTTATTTACATTTTCGGATCTAACTTTTAAAACGCTGGTCGTAAAACAGAATCTAAAATGTTTCAAAACCTGTAAGCATGAAGAAAAATCTGTCATTGTTTGCGAGTCAGTCGCAGTTCTGTGTTCTCACTTTACAGTGTAAATCGAAAGGCAAACTTCTCTTAGATCTAAATGATAGAGCTCAAATCTCAGTGCTCCCTGTCCTGCAGGCAGAGCCTTAGCAGCAAACTGTGTTTAGTCCAGCCTGACTTAAAATCAGCAGAATTTGCCTAGATAAACAAGCAGGCAGTAGTTTGCTCTCCCAGAGCTTCCTGCATGTTGGCAGAGCAGACTGTGAGAATTCAGGTCTACCATGCATGTCTGAGAGGAGGTTTTGCCTTGAGGTAGTTTGAGTGTTAGCCTCCGTGCTGTATTTTTTTTTTCCTGCATGGTTTGCTATTTTTGCATTTTCTGTGTGGCTTTCTAAGTTTTTAGTTATGTGCTTGTAGCTGCAGTTATTTAACATCATTTGTTGTGCCAAATGTTTTAAGACTCCATGTAATTGTCATATTAAAGGATCAGACAGCAAAGGACAAAGCACTCCAGCACATGGCAGCAATGTCATCAGCTCAGATAGTCTCAGCTACTGCTATTCACAACAAGCTGGGCCTGCCAGGAATTCCCCGTCCTACATTTCCTGGGGCACCTGGGGTAAGTTGTTAGCCGAGTCCCAAAAAAATCCCTGTATTCTCTAACAACGTTCAGTAGAAAACTAAGGCTGAATGAATAGATTAATGCTTTCACTTGTGTTTGCAAAAGGAATCATGCTTGTTCAGAAATATCCAAATTCTTTCAGCAATAAAAACAATTGTGGGTCTGTTTGTTTGTTTTTGCTTTTTCAGTTTTGGCCAAGCATGATTCAAACGGGGCAGCCTGGATCCTCGCAAGAGTAAGTCTGAAAATTAAAATATTCTTCTATATGCAGCATGGGGCTGGCTTGTGCACTTTGCTGCCAGAGGATATCGATGAGGCGAACACTTGCAAATTTTTCTAAAAAGGAGGAGAAGATAGTTGTA